AAACGAAAGCATTTTTCCGGTGATTCCTGTCGAATTGTTTTCACGACCCTATTTCTACAATGTCTGACCATACTGCTGCACGATTCCCTATGGAAAAGTGCAATTCTGTCATCTTTCCTCCTTACAGCTCCAATGCTCGAGTATGGTTTATGCAAATTGAGGCCCAATTCCATGTCGTTCCCTTGCTGCCAACAAAAATCGCAGCTGAAGTTCTTGACATCATTAAGACAATGCCCTCTGATAACCCTTATGACAAATTAAAAAGTGCTGCTCTTGCCAGAGCGACCAGCTCGAACGAGGCCCGTCTTGGACACCTCCTTTCTGAAATCGAACTTGGCGACAGGTCTCCTTCGCAACTCCTTCGGCATATGCGGACCCTTGACGGGGGGAACAAGGTCGACGACTGTTCTGCGCCAATTATGGGTTAAATGTCTCCCAGCGAACACCAATACCATCATTTCAATCCAGCCCTCTGACTCTCCATTCGAAAAACTCGCTGAGATAGCCGACAAAATTCACGAGTGTTTTTCCCAGGTACCAGGTCAGGGGAATGTCCTGTCTGGCGCCACAGCCAACACCTATTCTTTGGGCATTAACAAATTAGAAGAACGACTAAACAAACTGTTATTAAAATTCGATGAATTTGCTAAAGGTAACCCAAGCAGCCCCTACAGGCATCCGCAACGTCGAAGACGTTCTTCATCACGTTTTCGCTGGTCTAGCCAATCTAAAGAACGATCTAGTCTATGCTGGTACCATTGGCGGTATGGTGACAAGACACAAGCCAGTAAATACCCATATATTCACCCCCAGGCCTTCAAACCGTCCAACTTGCCTTCGGGAAACGAGAAGGCCGGCCAGAAATGGCGACGACTGGCATAGGCGCACAATCTAGTCGTCTATTTTACGTCCCCGTTTCACACAGTGGTTTAAAATTTTTGATTGACATTGGTGCAGATTTACTCTAGGTGATTAGGGCAATCGCAGTGATCTTATCCATAGTTTCATTTATCGGCGATTTTTAACCAGACATTAAATCCATCACGACGCTATACATGTGTGCGGTAATGAAGCCATTTTTGCGAAAATCAACGAATGAAACTATATTAATTTGTGGTGAATGTTGGATCTTTCAAATCTGATTGAAAGAAAAGGTACTTTTGTCAAATACCACATTCAAGCACCCTTATGGTAGGCCTGTCAAACTGCCGATTTATTGAGTCCCTATATTTCTGCATAAATAAAGAGCATCTTTCGTATTATTCTGACACACAGCTCTAAGATTACGCCTTGAGTAGATTGCTGACTGACCGGTGACGTATTCACATATTGATTTTGTTTTTAAGGAAATTGGACGGCTTGTATTTAGTTCCTGCACGTACTGTGGGACATTTTGTATGCACTTCCGTTGCCAAGACATCGAAAAGCACGTAGGCGATAATTGCAACTTACGCAAATCGTGTTCATTTTTTCCCATATGGGAAATGGTGGTGATGTATCTGAAGCACACTAATTATTGTGACCCATCGATGCCATCTGGCAACAGGTAGCTCAATGCATTCATTCATCAATCTAGTGTCTAAGGCGTTTAATTGGTCTTGCCCGAATCGATATTTAATTAATCTGCACGAAGTCTGTGCAACCAGCCTGTGCAACGAAGTCTGTGCAGCGTTGCAGTTGTGACGAAGCCATTTCTTGAGGTGCATGTTCAGGAATATCCGCATGGATAGCCATGGCTTCGTGCATTAAATTCAGATGATTGAACAATTTAAAAGAGCTTGACTACTTAAATTGTCGCCTCATGGTTATACTTGTTCACTTTGCTTCCTGCCTATTTTCAGGCACAATTGAGCAGCAACTGAAAACATCTTTTGCAAGTAGCTGTGCATATTTACCGGTGGGATTGTCGCTGTTCTAATACGTGTATCCCCTACATTCTTTGATCGATTCTTCAAAGGAAATTAACTTACGTTCCTTTTTAAGCAAACAGGTGTCTTGTGCTGCTTCAGTTCGGTTTGTTGTTTTTGATGATATCAAATATTAGTTTACCTGGAAATGAGGAAAAGGGTTAATCAAGCCTATCCATCGACCACACAGAAGTGCGTGAAACACGTCCTTTGATTTGCGCCTGTGTCCTTGAGTGGAAGCAAGCAGGAATGGATAATTGACATAAGAAAGCATCTGACGTACGTTCACTCAAGCCAATAATTTAAGCCTAATGCTCAAAGTCAATGTATTCTTGGTTCATTAGTGAGTTTAGTGACAAACCATGACACGGATAATGTAATCAGCAGTAGTAGAATCATCTTTAGTTCGCATAATTATGATTTAATCTAGATTTGCGAGAAATGAATTATCATGTATATATTTCGATGGTATTCAATAAATTTTCACCTCAATTGTCGGATGCAATGAAGGAAATGTCTTTTCTGCTGCATGTCAGTTTGCCAAATAAATGCCAGAAAAACAGGTAGGCGATGATTGGTAGTTTGTGATAGTGGTATGCGTCCTTGAAGCAGCTAATGGAGCAGTTAAGCCACGTTTACGCAATTTGCAGCGTTTTGGCGGCATATCCTGAAGCCAGCCATCCTAATCGGCTCTGGCATTCCTCAATTTCTTGAAGTCTTACTTTAGGAATCACACCAAATTGTCCTGCGATGCTGAATGCTCATTTGCATGAAATAGTCATCAATTTTGCAATGTAGATGATGACGTCTTTAACAGTGCGTGAGAACACATTGATTATACTTGTAATTAACTTCCCACGGTGTTCGTGTGAGGAACTCCGCGTTGCAGGTTTACAAAGATGCTGGCCAATGACGTTGTGTGGACGTCTACCCGTATTTGATTAGTGACTTTTAGAAGTCCCATTTCCCGAAGGCACAAATTCAAGGTGAGTACAGGGTATTTCTCACTTGCAAACGAACCAGAATATACGTTATGTTGAAATACTTGCAATAAGCATGTAGCATCTCCTTGCTCCTTCGTTCAGATGATGTTGACGTATTTATCAATGTGTCGCGGTTTTAACACCTGCCCACGGAGTCGTATTAATGTCACCGCAGGTGAATTGATTCCCTTCTATTTCAACACCAGCTTCACTAATTTCTGCTTCTTGCAAAACCGATTAATGCATTTGATTGATGAGTTTGAGTTCGTTAAGTGCAAGTAAAGCCTTAGCACTGGGGATGTGTTACTTGCAAACGAACTGGAATGCACGTTGTCTTGGAATTTCCTGACATTAAATAATCCCCCTACCTTAGCTTTTCATGTTTCTATAGTCAAACAGTAGCTCAGATTAGACCTACGACATTAAAAACTAAAATTAGTGTGGCTATGCCTGTCTACGGGTTTGATTGTCGTTTTTCTGCGCTTGCATTCAAAAACGACATGACCATCATATTTGTGTGTAACGATTCAGAGTAGTCATAGTTAGCGAGTGTACACTGCGTAATATATTATCTTCTCAGAATACAGTGGTAAACGTTGAAATTGTGATGGAATTGAGAATTGACTCCTCATCAATCATGCTGTGTACTTCGTAGCATTTCGAGGAATGCACATAGTAAGCCCGTCTAAAATTCTCCGCTTCATAGGGCAAACACTAATTTGATGATTCGGTCACCTTCATATTAAGCGACTGGCCATGTCATCACATTAGTTTTGATTCACTGAAGCTGCAAGATGCACCGATTTGGTTTGACTATGTGAGAGTTTCCACAAGCCTGCTTAGAGCGCAGTTTGCAGTTGGTCAGTGTATAACCACCATGAATTGCCAAATGTGAGGGCGACGGGATTATATTTTGATTTCAGCCCGTTCCTTAATTATGAAGGTGCTTTCCTGACGCAAACATAGTGCCTGGTTCTTAGAAATTCGTCGTGGTTAATAAAGCAAAGTAATGCAATCTAGATTCAATGTAATCAGAGTAGGTAAGTGTTTAATGAGTTGATTTGCCTGGAGATGCATTAATTTGTTTACGTTCTAATTGAAGCTACTTGGACTTGTTTTCCGATGTCTATTTTGATCGTCCCGAGCTTGAATTATTACGACTGGTATTTAGACTGACCACCGAAACAAATGAAGGCTAATATAAATCCCTCATAAGCAACACGTGTCGCGATTCCCCAATTTTCAAGACCACAAACTAAGAATAGATTAATTGATTAATTCATCTTGACAATGGATTTGGAAATTCATCACAATGTCAGCATGACTACTTGGATATTATCTGCAAATTCTGACCTCCTTTAACCTAGAGGTAAGTGACCGCCATGATCTACCAAGCGTGAATTCGACTGGATCATATTATGTTGTCAACTTGATGCTTGAATATGAAGATGCATTTTAGGTTGACCATCTGCACTTGCTTGCAAAAAATGGTATGATTTTCCAAAACACGCAGAGAGGTCGTCCTCTTTTCAACATACACACAGAAGCATTAAGTCGAGAATTAGACTGTTTTGCCATAGAATGTGATGGCAGTCACCTGTTTAACCAGTGCAGACGTGCCTAGTCTAGCTCGTTAAATACATGACGGGTAATTGTTCGCGTGTAAGCATTGTGCAGCATATACATGACATTCATGTGTTTCTTCATCGCTATCATAAAACACCATGAACGATTCATTTGATAAGTCTTTTAAAACTATATTACATTGTGTTGAGTTCAAAACCAAAGTGACCAACGCTTACAAATGATATGGCTTAAAACATTTGTGAAAGTATAAGAACAAAGCCACATTGCGGACAACAATCAACACGCACTTCTCAAAAAGCATTAAAAAACTTAAATCAGGGTTTGTGAAATTTACATCATGACTTGAGCTAGCGTCACACAAACCAGTATGAGATTTCATACAACCAATGAAATATTGCGTTACTGCGACCTTACATCTGTCTGTGAAAGAGTTGATTAGCGAATGCGAGATATTTAGGCAGTTAATTTCCGCGATGATACTTCACGCAATTTACATTAGGAGGTTCAACAGAGGCCGTCAAACATGAGTCTTAAATTCGTGTGCGCCGTGTTCGTGGTGATCTGCCTTTTTCCAAATTTCAACCAAGCCGACAGTACGTCCAATTCCATTTATCTCAATTTACCGGTTCTCTTTCTGAAGGCTTCACTACCGATCCGTATCCCGACAGTGAATCCACGGTGCCGTATTTAAATTTTACAAATATAACCATCCCAGATGTGGATGGGATTGGCACAGTCCATGTCACCAGCGTCGGGAGTGCCAAACTCTCCTGTCCGCTGACAAAAGAAAGAGCTCAAGTTTGGGAACAAGTGACTCTCTACGTGAGTACCTGTGTGCACCTGATGAATGTTGACATTGACATGCCGGACCTGGTGAGTTTTGCATTTCCTAAACAAATATTAAAAAATCCACAAGTGTTAAATTAATTCGGATTTGAAAATTGTTGTACTGTCTTAAAAATGACAGACCTTTGCAAGTTCGTGATAGTGACAGGCTAAGCAATGCTACATTAAAGCCAAAAGCGGGAAAAGAATGCATGCAACACTCAAATGGATGCCAACGCCAGAGAACGTGATGATTTTTGTAAACACAGCAGTAAAATTGGTTATGTGATTGATTGTCATTGGTTGGAGAAAAGACAAATGACTTGAGGACATGATCGCATATCTACTAGTTTTACTTGACATC